TGGAGACACCAGATTTACCACCCAGCCGGGGTGTAGTAGTCTCCCCTGAGGTGGCCCTTAGAAGTCTGGAACAAGGTGGTGACCCCCTCTATTAGAATTCTTATGTAAGGCAAGCTAACTGAGGGGCCTATTAGGACAGGCAACAGGCAATGTCCTGGCTAAAGTCTGGCTGACTGTGTCTTCAGTGGTTCCACAAACTCACCCAGTAGTTCCTTGCGCCCGAGTGTTTAATTAGAATTGATATGCTTGACAGTTGGGGTAACCTCACGTCAGGTCACTGGCCTGAGGGGTAAGAGCTCTTACAGTAGAGAAGGCTGAGTGGAAATTTCTGAAACTGCCTTCACCCTGTTGCCCTTGCCTGTGAGAGCGGCTAGAGATAAACAGGACGTCTATCTCAGGGGTTGTGGCAGAGATTAGTGCCACTGCTGACATTTGAGAGGCTGTCAGGGGAGTGGTCCCTCCCATCTCGTCATTTACTTTCCCAGTCTGACCCTCGCATTTCATGAGGGACCTTGGAGAGAGACGGCCAATAACCTTGCCAAAGTGGTAGTCCTGGTCGGCTGCCACTGCCAGCACAGATTAACCAGGCCATAGGTGTGTGGTGTGCGGCCACTTGGCAAATGTGCTCTTCTTCTTGCAATTAGAAGAGAAGATCAGAAACACTTCATGTTCACTTGGGATGGACAGCGATATTCATTTATGGCTCGTTATAAATTAGCACCCCACCCCCGCCCTGCTCGTGCTGATAAGCAAGAAGTGCCCAGAATAAAAGCCTACTTTACAGGCTTACAAAACCTATGACAATTCAGAGATCTGTGACTTTAGGAAGTGTTTACAGGGTTCAGTGATCAGGGGTTTGTTTGCTGGGACATTCCCTCTTACGTTAAAGAGATTGCAGCAGTGAAGGCAGCACAGTGCCTGGTGGCCTTCTTTGGGGGTCTGAGGCAATGTGTCATTCTGGGAGGTGTGGAAGGCCTCCTGTGTAGGTGGGTCTCATCCCAGAAAAGGCTCAGCAGAAGCTTTGGGCTATAGTACAGCAGCCCTGCCTTTGGGTCATATAATTGCCAGGTTCTGTGCTGTCAGTAGTGGCAAAGAGGCAGTAGTGAGCTATGGCAAGCCACAGTGTAAAAATTGGGAGTACTGGCCTCTGCAACCCTCCAGCAAGGCCACACCATCAGCAGCAGAGGATTATACACCTTTTAAGAAAGACTCTGACTCTGGAAGCAAAAGAACACTTGACCATGGAATATCAAGTGGGGTATGAAACAGCCCCTTCTGAACTGGGTTCTGTTTACATCATCAAGTCATAAAGTCAGCTGCCCAGCCCACCCTAAGATAGAAATGCTGCATATGGGATGGAGCCCAGCATGAAGAAGTTGAAGGAGGAGGTGGCCAGAGCCTGTCCAGCTGAAAGAGGAGGAAAATGCTTGGGCCTGGATAATGGATGGGTTTGACCCAGACTAAGGTAAAGATGGACAATGGACCCTGGCCAAGGTATAAAAGGAAGGGACAATCACAGTGGGCAGAGCTTCTAGCAGGATGCTTGGATGTCTGCTTTGTGTACAAGGAAAAGGCAGTGAAAATATATACCCATTCCTGGGAAGTGACCAATGACCTGGACATTTGATCAGGGGCCTGGGAAGAGAAGGACTGGGAGATGGGAGACAAGCATGGATGGGGCAAGGGGGTGTGGCTGGACATGGGGAAGAAGGCATGTTGGGTGGCAAAAGTGTCACCTGGGAACTGGTTAGAAATATAGTACATCAATGGAGGGTGTGAATTAAACTACAATATACTGTAAAAAGTTTTGTAAATGTCACAATGTGCTCCCAGTATAACAATATGATAAAGAAATTGATAACGAAATAAATATGGAAGGTCAAGTCCCATCCCATACTTACTCAGAATCTTCATTTTTAGTTTTCTGGTGCTGGGAATTGAAATGTGTTCTACCATTGAGCTATACTCCACCCCTAGAACCTGCATGTGAGCAAGATGACTGACACGGATGTTGACTTAGATTTGGGTTTGTCAGCAAATTCTTTCAATTTCAGCTTGATACCTGCATCTTTGCTAAGGAAACCATTTGAAATCAGAAACTGACATCATATGGGTCCTTGTTTTTTGTTTATTTAGTGTGGGAGATTGAACCCAGGGCCGTGCATTCTACAGAGTCACATTCCTTTAGTGTCGGGATCCTTCATTTTATAGGTCAAAGCCCAGCAGTTAAGGGACTGGTTACACAGTGAATTACAAGGTAGCAACCTAGGTCTCTCTCTTGCCTCCCACTCTTCTCACCAGCTCTGCTGTGAGCTACTTGCTCTAAGTCTGCATTGTCTAGTATAGTAACAATGGAAATGCGGCTTTATAGGAATATGTGGCACAGTACTTGTGGCTGTGCAAATACATGGTATTGTAAAAATGCTATTTGTTCTTTGTCCTGGGTTCTCGGCACATAGGCTGAAACTCTTGGAATTCTGAGTGACAGAATGAGTGTCTTGTTATTTATAAATTCCCTTTTCAACTACACCTGAGTTCACACTAAGAGGTGATTCAGAGTAGGGCCCCTAGACAGCTTCTGGATGGGGGATGGCCACCAGAAAGACCAAACAAGCAAGGAGAGGATGGAACTTTCAGCCCCTCCTCTGACCTTAGGGGAGGGAGGGTGCTGGAGATTGAACAAAGAGATGTGGAGACCATCAGGGTGCTGGAAGGTGGTGTGTTAAACTGCCCCATCTTGCTCTATGTGACTCTTCTATTTAGCTATTCCTGAGTTGTATCCCTTGTAGTAAACTGGCAAACATGTCTTCTCAAGGGCCATGACTTGCTCTAGGAAACTATCAAACCAAAGGAAGGGGGGCTTGGAGGACCTCTATGTTTATAGGTGGTTGGTCAGAAGTATCAGAAGCACCTGGGACTTGCAACTAGTATCTGAAGAGCAGGTGATCTTGTGGGGCTGAGCCATGCCCCTGCGGGGTCTGTGTTAACTCTAGGGAGGTGGTGCCAGAACTAAACTGAATTGTTGGGCAGCCATTTGGTGTAGGAGAACTCGGTGGAAAAATGACCTGTATTTGCTATATGAGAAGTGAACTGTGAAAACTGACAATGCACCAGTACAGACCAAGATGTACTCTGTGTAAAATACATGCTGGACTTTGAGGAGTTATGAGCAAACTATAAATAGCTCATTGATACTTTTTAAATAATGATTACTCATTAAAATGATATTTTGGATATATTGGGTTAAATTAAGTATTCTATTAAAAATAAGAATGAATTTCATTTTTCTTTTTACTTTTAAAGATACTTACAGGGCTGGCAGTGTGTATTTAACAGTGCTGCCATGAACTGTCTCTTCATCAATCAATACTGTTTTATTTATTGCTTAATTAATAGCCTGGTTGCCACTGCTGAGGTCACTTCCTGGTTATCAGCTTGGGATCTTTCAGTTATTCTTTATGGTATGATGGAATTACTCAATAACTCTTAAAATAAGTGTTGATGAAATATCTAAAAATGTCAGTTTACACTGGGAAGAAATTCACCATTGGCAATTTAGAGGAGAGGGCTTGGGAGGGGATGAAGTACTTGGGCCACAGTATGCTAATGTGGATTGCTGGGTCACATCATTCCTGAGCCCAGATGTAGAAAGGCTTTGTCAGAGGGGGTACAGGGAGACAGAGCTGCTGAAGGCTCTTCAGGGTGCCAGGCCCTGGTTGGTTTTCCTTGAACTCAGTGCCCTTCCCCTTCAGCTCTGACCTGAGGAATGAGCTACATGCAGTGCTGATGCTCTGAATGCAGCTCTTGCTCAGTCCCCAGTCTCACTTGTTTCCCTCCTGACTGAATCTCAGGAGCAGAGTTGGGCATGATGGATCCCAGGGCTGGCCATTCAGGAGGAGGCCTGGGCCCTTTGGCTGGGTCACATGTGCCCTTTAGAGTGAGAAAACCTGAAGGCTCAAAGAAGGGGACATTCCTGCCACACACCTTAATCTTTTGTGGCTCTTAGGAGAACCTCTTGTCTGAGTCAGAGTTCCCTAAAGCCCTGAGATGAGAACTGGCATCCCTGGGCTACATGAAGTAAACTCAAGGGCTTAACCAGAGGAAGTACTGTCTAGAACTGAAATCTTGATCATTCACTGTGCTAGTTAACAAATCCCTGAAGCAGAAAACTCCGCTACCCAAGACTTCAATTTTTCATGCCTGAAATATTCACAAATTGTCACATAACATAGCAGGTAAAACTGTGACCCAGAAGAGGGGAGGAACTTAATCAGTCTCACACAAGTTTTTAAAGGCAGTAGTTGGGTAGTAGCAGTAGTAGTAGTGAGAACCTTGGCTGCAGGTCTCTTCTTAAACTCTACAAAAGTGTGTCTGGAACCCGGAAGCAAAAGCCAGCACATTCAGCATCTGTCACTTTCTGAGCAAAGGAGAGGAATGACAGAATCAAGGTATATGTGGGTCATGCTTTGTCTCACATCCTAGCCTTCCAAGGAATGTGTGAATCCCGAGACCTGTGCACTGCAGAATGAGCTTTACTTCACAGTACATGAGGGATGCTTTTTCTTAACAAATAAATTTAATTCAAGGTGGTTAGTGAATGTAAGGCAGGTAATGCCTTCATGAAAGTTAAAAGAATCCAGTTACAAAAGAAGCATTGTGTACAATCTCAAATAGCTGAAAGTACAATGGGCTCCATATTTTACAAAGTACAAAAAATTTCATATACAAAGAAAAATACAAATAATGTGCAAAACCCATTTTTCTCAGGTGGCAAATTTATAAAATGAATATGATAAAAAAGTCCTTCATTCTTATTATCCCCCAATTTCTTATATATTAACATAATTCTATTTTCTAGTACGTAGACAATTTTAAATTTGAAAATCTGACTTATTTTTAAATCTACAAAGTTTTTGTTTTTTAAAAAGGGAAGCTTTCTTTATTGAAATCTTATGAATGAATCAGTTAGTTAATTTTATATTAAATTATAAGTTGGCTATCTGAAAAAACAAGGATATAGAAATCACATATACACAATATTGAAATATTAGTTTGGTATTTAACATATTAACATTTCAAAACAAATACTGATCAAACCCCCTGGGCCCAGGTTGGTGTCAGTGGCTGTGGCAGAGGCTGTTATTATTCACTGGGAGTGAACGTATCCTTGAGGCTTAGGCTGAACAAACACCAGGTTATCAAAAGTAAGGAGAATCGAAGAACAGTTCTTACTTTTCATGTGCAGAAGTGCTGTTTGGGTATCCACTATGCCACGGTGCAACAAGTCACAGGTGTGTGGTTATAAGTAGCTGGCCTCAGTCTTTCCAATTTCTTCACTTGATAGGAGTTCAGTGCATGTGTTCTGTGAGTTAGTGCATCTGGCTTTTGGCATGTTATTTTGTATAAGAAGCTGTCAGGGAGCAGAAGAACATATAGGAACATGGGCCCTGCATCCTTGGAGTGCCTGTGCTCTGGAGGACTCTGTTTTGGAAGCAGTGGTTCCCTACATTGGCCAAGCTTTTTCCGTAAGGATAATCCTGTGTGCTCCCTCTTTGTCACTAAGTAGTGATGTCTTTTGTTGTGAACCTCAGTGGCAGAACAGGGACCATGGAAGCACCTTTTGTCAGCACCAGAAAACTGAGCATCTTAAAGGTCAGGCATAAGAGTAGGTGCCTCTGATGGGGAACCTATACTATGTAGGACGTAAGATGATTGTTGAAAGGTTTTGATTTTTGCTCATTAAAAAGCTCTCCAAGGAAATTATGACCTTAGAAAATGAAAAGGACCTTGATGAAGAAGGATGCAGTTGGTGGCCATTTTGCCTAGGAGATGGATGACAGTGGGTTCAGGAGCATTGTTCTGATTCCTAACCACTAAGACCCTGTTAGAACTATTCAGTGCAAGACACAGGGAGGATGTGAAGCTCTTGACCAGACCTGTGTAACACATCCATTTAAAGATGTTACAAGAGGGGACTGGGTAAAACTGGGCAGGAGAACCTCAGGCCCTGGGATGACCTGCCATCTATTCAATGATTTGTGCTCTTTTTCCATCTGGCATGAGTTCTTCGACTTCTTCTGCTTGGGTTAACCATGGGCATTAGGCATCAGAGATACAACTCTGGATCCTGTCCATCCATTGCTGGGCACTTTGTCCATCCTGTGCACAGAAGTTATACACACGTTTGCTGGTCTTGAGCTATAAAACCAAATGATGGAGAAGCACAGATGAAGGGCAGGGCTATTTTATGGCTTTGGCAAGTAGCAAATCAATCCCCATAACCTTCCTTTTCATGCTGTTTCAGAACCTCTCTCTCTTCTCCTTTCACTACCACACTTTACTGACTTTAGTCATGTTACTTTTCTCATTCCCAAATCATAGGGGGTACAAATACACAGGAGAGGGCAAGGAGAGGGCAGAGAGAGGGTGGCACATAAGGAAAGCTGTGCATCTCCCTGGGGCTATCTTTGACTGTGGGGGAGGGATTAGGAATGGATGGAGCCTCTGGTCTCTCTCACAATGCAGTAAGGGCAAAGAAGCTCTGATGGAAATCCCAAGAGTCATCTTTTCTATGAAATTAGCCTCTCTTTTCCCTGTCATTGTTGGGCCCATAAAGGAAGTCTCTAGAACCAAGGAAATAGCTTCATGGCTTAAGCAGGTTCCCAAAATGTGACCTCTACTCTACTAAGCCATGCTTGATTCCAAAGAGTTAGATAAGTAGCTTTCCACATGGTCCATAAAATGCCCTTCCTCAGGGCTGTTGAAGATGTTAGGGCAGACAGTTATATGTGACCAAGGACAGCCTTTTGCGGTGGGTCAGGCAGGAAGGCCACTGATGAGGAAGAAGCAGCATCTGTTCTTGAAGGCAAATGGTGACTGGGATGACGGAGAGCATTTTACAAGGAATGCAGCTACCTCCATTGTGTGGTGCTGAGATGCATGGACACCTAAGAGTGGTCATCAAGCTTGGGATCAGAGTGTCGATTTCAAGTTCTGGAGCACTTCCCACAGTCAGATCTGTCCCCCTTCTATGGTGACCACCAGCTGCTCTGAGGGCCTAACAATTCTTGGAGGCAAATGGAAAGGAGCAGGCAGAACTAGCAAAGAAGTAGGGTCAACTTACATCAAAGAAAGCCTTGTCACTTGTGTGCTTTGGGGCTCCCATGCTAGGGCCAGCAGGAATGACCATTTCTACTTCAGCCAGATCAATGTGGCCTTTACAGCTTGTGTCCTCACTGGAGTCATAGTATCGCAGCTAGGATCAAAAGGATACAGATGGGAAACAAGAAACACAGAAAAGAAAAATGGTATGGCTTTTCTAACTGTATTTGTTTACTTTCCTCTGTATTTTGCTTATATACTACAAACTATGCCTGGAAGAATACACAAAAAATTAGTAACACTGGTTGTCACTTGGTGCTGGTGGCTTCTGCAATCCTAGTACTTGGGAGGCTGAGATTGGGAGGATCAAGGTTCGAGGCCAGCCCAGGCAAATAGTTTGCAAGACCCCATCTCCAAAATAACCAGAGCAAAATGGACTGGAGGTGTGGCTCAAGTAGTAGAGCACCTGCTTTGCAGGCATGAAGCCCGGAGTTCAAACTTCAGTCCCACCAAAAAAAGTAAAAAAAAAAAAAACAACCCACAAAAACCCAAAACACTGGTTTCCTCTGGGAAGGAGAGCTAGGTGGCTGGAAGAAGGGAGTGGGAAAATGGCATATGGATTTTTTTTTGAAATTTGAACAAATAAATGCATTACATATAAATATTAGTCAAATAACTGTAAAAAATATATGTAATGTATAAAAAGGGGTTAAATGTTTATTATCCATATATAATTCCTGATAATTAATAAAATTAAGCAACCTAGAAGAAAAATAGTCAAACAAACTCAACAGGCAAGTCACAGAAGAAATACCAATGAGGTATAAACATCTGAACAACCTCAACAGTCAAAGGAAAGTGAGTAAAATTAAGATTCGCTTTTTAACACTGGTTAATTAAATGACAGCAGATCAAAGACTTTGGATACTGTTTAGTGTTTCCAAAAGAATAAGGAAGACCTCTAAATGAACTGGTAGAAAAAAAAGCAAGTCACCAAATAGCATGCAGATATAAAATGATTTTGAAGGGTCTAATAAATAACTTAACATTTAACTATATCAGGGACTTTTAGATTTTCATGAATGTTTAACTTTGGTATAATAATCATGTATTACTTTTGAAATAAGAAAACATGCCAAAGTATATTAAAAATTAAGAAGCTTGCTGATGAAAAGCCTTATTGGTCCAGTTTGGATTTCCGTGCTCATGGCAGTAATGTGTCTGGTGTTTCTTTCCTTCTCTGTGGTTCTGGCCTCAGATTTCTCTTTCCCCTCAGGCCTGGCATAAGTAGGGCTCAATGGAAAAACTGTATACCCTTCATGCTAAAGAAATCCAAAAGACTGGTAAGAATGCAAGTATAATTTGATGTGATTTTAAATTACAGAAAAATCATGACATTTTCCTATGTTATATTTAGTGGTTTAATGGAACTTTTCTACACATGTAGGCTCTATGATTTCATAGACACTGCTATTTTAAAGTACAGCTCTGAAAAGGACTTCCATTTGTATATCTGAAAATAAATTCTCAGTATGCCACGAAGACTTTAACCTTTAAGAAAACCTTGAGCAGAGGAAAAGGTGGACCCCAGGTATAGTTTTCATCTAGAAGGGGTCCTTTAGACACAGGTCGTGCAAAGCACTGAAGGGGTAAAGTCTAGGTCTTTTGGAGGAGACTCCACTGCGCAAATGAATGCGTGGAGAATCAATATGCAGCTGACTGGCTGCCCCTCCTGCTGGAGAGGGGCAGGAGGTTTAGCTAGGAGTTACTCTCCTTCCAGATCTGTGGAGCAAGGGTTATGATGCCAAGGCTGCTAGAGTGATAGCTAAGAGCCTAACAATGGCCAAACATTTCCTAACATGGTCAAAAAGCCCAATCTAATATCTGCCTACTGTGACTTCCAGGACTGGGTGGGCCCATCCACTTCTGTCCGTCTTGGAGCCCCTCCATCTTGTTGCTGCCACCTTTGAGAGGTAGCAATGCCTTCATTAGTAACGAGTACAATGTTGGGTACAGAGGTGGGGTGCAATCAATTCAGTCATGAGTGAATGTTTCTGCAGCAAGGACAAAGGGCACTTGGACTGTGGGGAGCATGCACAGGCTTACATGTGCATGTGGTATAAGTATATGCAACAGGCTGGAGCCCTCGGTGCTTCCTGACCTGGGTGTTAAGAGCAGATGGCAAGAGATATTTGAACGTTAAAAAGAGTTCTAGTGCTCTGAGTGTGAGGACACAACTGTCCTGCCTTAGCTGCATGTACCAGGCAGAGGTTACTTTGGAACTGCCCTCTGAAGGCTACTGCCTGGCTCAGGAACATTTTGAGCCCTAGAGGAGTCCTCAGCTGCACAGGCAAGGCCTCAAAGAGAAGTTTGTGTGTGGGGAATGTATGTTTGTTGAGGGTCACATAATAGCAGGTGACCAAGGCTAGCCTAGACAGAAGAATTTCTTTAGGCTTTAACAGTATTACCTGATGTTTTGTTACATCTAAAACGAACCAACGGGGTTTCCAACCTTTCAGCAAAGCCCCTCTTTTGTACAGCGTTCCCTCAAAGGATCTAGAAGAAAATAGAGCAGTTAATTTTGATTTTTCATTTTAAAAATGCAGTGAAGGGGATATCTATTGTTTTTGTTTAAGTCTCTGTTCCCTATAGATAATCCAGAAAAGGCCAGAATTTTCCCTGGAGTTTTGGCCCTAGACCTTTGGTGAGAGACTGCCTCTTTCTGCTGAGATCACCACAGTTGCTAGATTTGGAATTATCAGTAGCCATATTTGTGCCATGCTAGGACTAATATAACACAGAGGGAAAAGCAGAGCTGGAATCAGAAGCTTGAAGACACTGTGTGAGAAACTAGCATGCTCTTGGCCATTTAAGTGAGTAAATTCCTTTCTGCTTCAGCTAGAATGAGAAGGATTTCTCATGTCTGTCATTGAAAACTGCTGACTAACACATATTCCCTCAAAAGCTGTGACAGACATGAGATAATAACAATCAGGAATCAACTAAAAATAACAACAACCTCTTGGCATTGAGTTGTAATATTTTTTTTTTCAAATAACCATTTAAAGCATTTGAAAAAAAAAAAACAAAGAATTAAAGTAAATCCATTCAAATTTACAAAAGGCTGTTCTGTGCAAGCCTGGCTTGCTGAGGGGCCTGTAGGTGAGGTGAGCCTTAGGCAGCTGGGGGAGACTTTCTGAGCACACTCAGCACAGTTCAGGACGTCACCTGTTTTCATCATTCTTGGATGTATACTGGCTGTACAGCGTGGCTGCTCTGCGCTCCACCCCATTGGATGGGGAGATGCTGGTGTTCTGCTCCTCACCCATGTTGCTGTCTGGGAGGCGTGGCACAGGCCTCTTCTGATAGGAAGGCAGGTTGGGAGACACAATTCCTGGGGACCCTGATGGATATCTTTGGGACTGAAAAAGACAGAACAGGAGGTAGGAAAGCTTTACAGAGACTTTAAGCAACTGACTTGATAACTTCATTTATATGAATTTATCTCAAAGAAAAAAACTGGACTAATGAGCAAAGATGTATGTACCAAGATATTTACCCTAGGATTATTTATAATAAAAACTATAAACAACCTAAGGACACATGATTAGGGGACTGGCAAAAAACTGTTATTTCTGCATGATGGAATTCTAGACAGCTACTGAAATGATGATACTTACATATGTAGTGGCAAATGAGGGACACATATGCCAATGTTAAGTAAAAAGAAGGTAGGTTTAAAAATAGTATGTATAGTAAGTCTCTTTAATGTGTAAGTTTAGAATGACAAGGTATTTGATAGAATGATGGCTTATTTTTAGGTTATAAATTGTGAATGATTTGATTTTCATCTTCTGTTTTATTTTCTCTGTATTATCTTATTTTTAAACATAAATATATCTTGTCTTCATAATGAGAAAAAAAATCAAGAAGCTATTTTATTCTTCTGAGGGAAAAGGCATAAATGCATAACCCACCTGTGGCCTGTGTGGTAACAGCTCTTGGATTGCCTTTTGAAGGCAAGAGACAGAGCCTCGAGGTCCTCTTTTATTTATTAAGGGTTTTCTTTTCACCCCATTCTTTTTGCCCTCGCCCTTTTCTTCCTGAAATGCTCTTTAGAACACTTATCTTTCCTCATTTTCCTTCTGATGTGTCTGCAGTAAATCTGATATGGTTTTGAATGGTGGTAGCTTTACCAGTTACTAGCTGTTAGGTTTCTTTACCTTTTCCCTCCTGCATGATATAGGACCCCACTCCCTCACTGTGGAATAGATAGGAAGGATAGTTCTAAGCATGGTCCCCTGAACATATTATATGCTTGATAAATACTTCTTAAATAAGAAACAGGAAATGGAATGTGAGAAGCAGAAAACAGAGTATTTGGCTTAAAAATATTTCTATGATAAATGTTTCTTAAATCAGAAACAGAAAAGGGAGTGTGAGCAACAGAAAGTAGCATATTTTGTCATTTAAAAATGTTTATTTATTCTGTCTGCTTATTTCTCTGGAGCAAACATGGTCTTGCCATTCCCCTCCTCCCTCATGGGGAAGGAGATCAGCTGAAACCACAGAGGCACTGAGACAGAAAAGAACCCAGTAATTTCCTCTGGATTCAGTGCCCTGAAACCTAAGTATTATGTCACTGTGGTAAAGTGAGACACTCATGAAGTATTTGGTCATTTGGAACTTTCTGCCCTGGACCCCCAGTGTATGATCCCTCCATTTCTACCCTTCTCTCAGGTCATAAACTCAGCTGGTCCTGTTACCTGTGGCAGTGGGTAACCTGACCTAGAAACCCCCAAAGTTCAGGAAGCTCCTCAGGGGGCTCTGCCAACTTACATGGTCTGTTCTTGGCTCTTCCTTAAGGTCCATGGTTACCTTTTCCCACAGTTGGTGCCACTTCTCAGGGGTTTGGTTCAATTTATGCTCTAATTTTTCAATTTCCTGGAAAGAAATGAAAAGGAGTTTGTTTTCTAATAGATCAGTGTTTCATAGGAGGTCATGATGTGCCTCAGATCCATGTTTCCCCCTTACTGGGACCAGGCCAGCAGCACGGTCAGAGGGCAGCTAAAGAGAGTGGTAGACATGGGGCTACAGAAGTCTTCCAAGCCAGGAAGAGTGGTGGGGCATGAGCTGGTGTGATGTGCTGTGGCAAGGATGATTTATTAGGGCCTTCACCAGGTTTTTATGTACAGACTGGTTTAAATACTAAGAGATGTAATGTGTGTCCCACACACCTTCACTTTTGGGTAGCCCACAGGAAATCTGATGGTTAAAGCAAAAGGCCAACCCTGGGCCCATGTCCCAACACTAATGGTTGAGAGTTGAGAATTCTGTCCTTCACAGAGGAGCCCCTCAGCTCTGGTGACTCAAACCAGATGTGGAAAGAATAAACCAAGAGATGCCCAAGAAAAGGATTTCCCTTCTGATGGAAATCTGGGACAGTGCCACCACTGCAGCACCTTCCTTGCCAGAAAACCAGAGGAATAGGGCTCTTTAGGAACTGTCTGGCCTATAGCAGGGCTCAAAACTGTTCCTCAAGGTGGCTACTGCCAGGATGGCTTTGTTCCAGAATATTCCTTGCAGAAGGTGGTTGGCAGTTCTCCCATCAGGCCATCAGCTACCCACACTTCTGACCAGAGGAAGTAAAGCACCCACAAAAGCCATAGCCCAGGGTTAACTCAGGCTGCTTGAGTAGCTGAAACAGCTGGAAAGGTGCTGGAAGCAGCAAACTGCTCAATTTTCTCAACTGCTTCCTTGTAACACTGGGAACTTACTTTTACTGAAACTAACTTCCAGCAGTTAAGCCTAGTGTTCCACTGATGCAAGGGAACAAAGAATTTGGTTTCTTCAGATTTTAGGAGTACAGTCTAGTAGCCCAGAGTGAGAGCCAGATTCAAAAGGTAGTAAGCTAATCTTAGCTGAGCCTGGGTCCTGGGGCCACAATTCCTGTGACCAACTTACATTGAAAAGGCTGGTGAGAGCATCAGGCTGAGTACAGAAGACATCATCATAGCATGGCCACACTGTTCTCCTCTGGCTCTGTGGCCCAGTTCCTCCAGCTAGATCAGATTCTTCTGAGGGGAGGTTTTTGGGGGTCAGCATCATCCAGTCATATGAAGGGCCTGCAGACAGGGTCTCCTCTGTGTAGTAATCCCACTTCTTGAGGCTGGAGACATTTACAGTAGGCTTCAGGGCCTGTTTAAAGAAAACTCTGAACTGTAGTTCTGTCTTGACACCAAAGTACCCTGACAGGCCAGTCCCTAACATTTGCAGGATCCAGGGCAAGCATATGAACAGAGGTTCAGATGCCACTCATGGAAATATTTAAAAGTTACACATCAGGATAACAAATTAACAAATTAACCTCCTGATGCCTTGGAAGGCCAGGTTCAAGTGAAGAATCCTTGGATGCTTTAGGATTCCACACCAGGAAGTGGTGATACTGGGCAGACTGGTTTCACCTTCCTCCTCCCATCCTGTCCTTGCATGAATGTTTGTGTATACCACAGCCTACGCGGCGAAATTCTGTCCACTCCCTTGCCAAATAGTAATTTTTAAAAAGTATTTTAGATTTTTCAGCTTAAGTTACCTGTTGAGATTTTAAGTTTCATTAAGTTTTTTTCTCCTCCAGGAAAATCTGCCTTGCTTTGATTTTTTTTGTTTTTGTTTTGTTTTTTGATCTTTTTGTTTTCTGATGGGACTGGGATTTGAACTCAGACTTTGCACTTGCAAAGCAGGCGCTCCACTGCTTGAGCCACACCTCCAGTCTGCTTTGATTTTTTTTTGACATTATCCTTTCTAGGTTTTAGGGGTCAGCTCCTAGTTTTTGTGGCAAAAGTTTAGTGAACAGTCTTCATTTCCATTACAACTCAAAATTGTAAGTGTCTCAAACTTTTAAATAGCTTAGCTTTTGGCATCAAACATAGTTAAGTGTTTATGAAAAAAAAAAAAAAAACTTAAACAGGACTGGGAGTGTGGCTCAAGTAGTAGAGTGCTTGCCTAGCAAGCTTGAGGCCCTAGCTTCAATCTCCAGTCCCACAAAACAAACAAAAAACCCAAAGCCCTCCAATGAACTTAAACTAAGGAAAATTTTTAACACAAAATATTTAGAAAGTGAGACAAAAACAATTTCTTACTCTACCTCTATTTCCACTGGTGAATATAAATAATTGAAGAAAATGGGACTCCGCTTGTGCATTCTATCAATACACTCCCAAATACAAATTCCTTTCTTGGCGTGCTTATCCCCTTTATCATCAAATAAAGTTCCTGTAAATAAAAAAAATCCAACAGAACAAAAGTTAAATAAATTGACATTTTGCCTAAAAGCATGATGCATGTAACAGATGAAATGTGAAATGAAAAAAAACATTTTAAAAAAGTGAAATATTTCTTTCTTATGGCTTTAAAAATAGTAACATATGTACAGAAACTTTAGAAAACAACTGTAGACTAAAGACAGGAACAGAGGGGTGATGGAGTGACTCAAGTGATAGAGGACCTGCCTAGCAAGCATGAAGCCCTGAGTTCAAACCCCAGTTCCACCAAAAAAAAAAAAAAAAGGTAAATAAAGATAGGAATGGACTTCCCAGCTATATAGAAACAAAGCAAGGTAGAAGGAAAAGATTGGGTAAGGTTTTCTAGGCAGTTAGCAGTACATCATCACTCACTCTATGTCTGGTGTCTGTATCTACAGCCACAGAGGTTTGTGCCAGGAGACACTCTATACATTGTTCATAAGAATATGGAAGGACTTAAAAGTTGATTTGACGAAACTCAGTTAAAAACATAATTTTGTGTTTCTTTTTAAAGTTGTTGCCTGCTTATTATGAAGCCATTTAAAGCATTTTCTCATTTAGCAGTTTATACATATACTGGAGAAGGATGGTCATGGAGATTCTGGGTGCCGTTCTTTATCCTTGGGTGACTTAAAATCATAGCAGAACTTAGGGGTATACTTCAGGCATCTTTCTGAAACCACCATTATACCTTTCAAATAGTCACTTGATTGCTCACATAAGCCTACTTTGTTTTTAATGGGGAGGAAGACATATCAAGGTAAGGCAGGAAGAATTTCTTAAAAGGCCAGGAAGGGTGTATCTCTTAGTACTGTCTTGCTTTGAATAAAATGACTCAGTCAAAAGTCAACAAGAATTTTGTCAGTTTATCAGAAAAGAAAGTCTCAAGCCTAGAGCTATCCAAAATTCTGTAATATGTGGAGCCCCAAGACTAATGAATGCTTTCTTCTCTACCTTTCCCCTCTCCCACTTCTTTTTTTTTTTAATTTTTATTGTTTTATTATTCATATGTTCATACAATGCTTGGGTCATTTCTCCCTCTTCCCCCCACCCCCTCGATACCCGGCAGAAACTATTTTCCTCTCCCATTTCTTAACTGCAGAATCCAGTGCAGTGGTTCTCAACTTTGGTAACACATTAGAAAAAACAAGAGATTAAAAATCCCAATTACATCAGAATCTCTGGAAATGGGCTTCAGGAATTAGTTATTTTAAGTTTTCCAAGTGACTCCTGTGCTCAAAGTTAAGGCTGCCCTCAGCGTTGGAATGGACTTTTAAAGTCCCCTCACACTTCATTTGGAGGATGGATTACACTGGAGTTCTGTGTGGCAGTCAGCCCCACGTGGAATAGGCTCTGGGGATCTTTATAGATAGAAGAAGAGTGAGCTGAAACCACAGAGAAGGTCTAAGACCTGGCCCTCCCTCCCTTAGGGAATCCTTTCTTCATCCTGGTGATAACTGAGTACTGGAATCAAGAAAAATGGACTTTTCTTACGATGCCCAGATGGCTGTTTTAGGGAAAGACAGACACATAGAGGAGGCACCTAGAAAATAGTTCACATCATCAGACACTAGTGTCAAATATCATCAGTTTATAATCCCATAACCCACTATGTATAACATATTACTCTTCCAGGACACAGGTGCTTAGGCTTTTCTGATGAAGCCTTACAGATTGTGACTGATGATTATATCAGCAGTGATTGAGATTGCTACTATCTAATTGTTGATCTTGGCAGGTACAGAGTAGTTACCATAGCTGTTCCTAATGCTGCTGGCACTGTGTAGGTTTCACAATTAATGTGTTACCTAAACACAAGGACAGACCTTACACTGGCAATCCAGACTGGGCTAGAGACACAAAAGCAGGGTTCTTTGATGCTAATTAGGTGGGTGGCTGTTGTGTGTCTCATTTGTCCAGTGAGGGGACTGGATAGAGGACCCTTCAGGAATGATGTACTAGGATCCTAAGTGCATGTTATATGTTTTATGAAAAAAATATGTCTAGGACACAGGATGGAAATACATTTTCAAATAATCATAATAATCTTTCAATATATATCAACATATACTTTTATTCACATAATTTCATTTTATCTATGAGGAAACTGAGGCTCAGAGAGATGAAGTAGTTTACCCAGCAGCACCAACACTTTCTGACTTACTTTGGTGCTTTCCCCACTGGAGCAGCAGTGTCTCAGTCTTGAGACTGAGTGCAATCACCAGGGAACTTTAAAAAGCTGTGGTTGCCTGGGCCCCACCATCAGATTCTGACTCAACTGGTTGGAAGTATCACCTGAATGTCTGGAGTTTTAAAAGTTCCCCAGGTGATTCTAATGTTCAGTCAAGTCTGAGAACCATAGTGCTAGATTTTGTTGCTTCTCTGATGAAGAGAGCCACTATCTACTACAGCAGAAGCCTTGACTTTGGCCACATCTGTACACTGTGAAGGTAATTTGCTGACCACCTTAATTTAGCAAAACAAACTAGTCTACTGAAAACACCAAAAACTCTTCCAGGGAAACACTTCTACTTTACTCACAACAATATGTGCATATGTTGTACCTTTCAGTGATAAAGCTGAGCGACATGGTGACCCTCTGTCATACAGCCCTGTCAGCTCAAGACCAGAGGCAGCTGTAAATAGCTCTACTTATTATCTTCTCAGCACATGGTGCTTAAGAAATTATGTTTCTGATTGTGATTGAGTGATCAAGGACAATTATACAAGTCAACAGAGATCTGAAAGTATAAACAGGATGGGAGATGTTCTGACCAGTGTTGTTATCCTTACCAAAAATGTGGACTGTCACACTAGAGAATTTCAATAGCATGTCCTAGAAAGTGGTATTTCCTGATTTCATATTTTAAACTGAGATCTCTGGTAAATACTTTGTCACCATAAGTCCCCTTTATTAATATTCTGGTACATGTAATACACTGAAAATAGCTGATTTTTTGTTAAGTTTGTTTGTTTTCTTAGTAAAAATAGTCGTGTATTTACCCCACCCCCAAAACAACAAAAGGAGGAATGTAAAATTTCCTTGGGAAATGTTTTCTCAGGGTCTTTCAGAATCTATTCTTTTCAACTATTATTACTACTAGAAAGTATAATAATGATAGTGATGTCTAAAATTTATTGTGTGCTTATTATGTGCTAGCAACTGTTATAAGAAATTTACAACCATTTCCTCATGTTACCATCATGGTCCTAAAGGGTGGGCTATCACTGTCCTCATTTTAAAGATGATGAAGCTGAGGTTCAGAGAAGTAACTAATTCCCCCCAAAGTGCACAGTTGGTAATTGGTAGTTCTGGAATTTGACCCTGGAGCCTATGGCATCAGCTACTATTCAAACTTCCTTCAAGTCCCCTTCTTATCAGAATGTACCAGGAATGGAAAAAACTAGGCGTCAAGCATTTTTTTCCCACCACAGTGATATCACTTCAAAACATCAAAACAGTAAATAAACTTAACTTTACAAAAGTGTGCTACAAGAGTAAACATTTGCCATTTCTCAGAGTCAACACAGCACATAATCTCAGAATTGGGCAGTTACTCATATTCACTCTACACTCATTGTTTAGTATAAAACCCTAACTCTGAGCTTATAACTAGAGAGTAGTTACATCGATACAGTTTTCATTAAAAAAGTAAAACTAACAAAAAAGATGGAACAGTGCATAAAAATACATACCATGCTCTAATCTTTCATAGTCTGAATCCAGGAGGAATGTTTTAAAGCGATTAGACACATAGTGGAAGGCCAAAAACTTCAGGTAATAGAGATTGAATTCAAACTCAGTTGGATACTGGTTGTGAACCTGAGATATACAGGTAAAGGAAAGAGTAAGAATCAAACAGAATAAAAGTTAATGCCAGGCCACTGAATACTGAACTATGCAGGAGATCATCTGGATATTCATCCAACAAATACTTGAACCTCTATCATGGATGACAGAGATGGGAAGAGAAACAGATTCTATGTGCCAGAAACCATATTAATTTTTTTTTAAAAATAAATCATTTAATTTCTATAACATTGCAAGATAGGTATTGTTATTCACTTTACAGTTCAAGGCTTTAGGATCAGCAAAATTATTTATTCAGTGTCATCCAACAGCAACTAATGAATTAAAATTTGAACCCTGCTTTGTTAGGCTCGAAGGTTTGCGCCCTACTCACTGTATTATACCTATATTATACTATGAAAAGCACTGGGCAGACATAAAATTAACAGAAGTTTATTATTCTTGTTTTCCAGATACCTGTGGTATAACAGTGTGAAATACAACAAAAAAAACTAAGGGCTGGTGACATGGTTTAGTGGTAGAGTACTTCCCTATCAAGTATGAGGTCCTGAGTTTAACTCCCCCATATAACAACAAAAAACAAAACACCCAAAAAAACAAACAAAAAAATGGGGAGGAGGTGGCGTAAGAGGACAGGAGACATTTTCTGGACCAAAGAAATGTGCACGTGTCTGAAGGCAATCTGGAAAGAGCCAAAAGACACAGAATAACTTTTAAAGAAAGTGCTAATAACTAAGACAATAAGGCCCTGGAAAAGTATGAATGAATGACAGTAGGGCTCAGAGATAGGGAACAGCCTTGGAAATGATGAGGGATGGGGGAGTAGATAAAGATACCTTCAAATGCCAAGGGAAGTGGGAGGAACATATGCCTTTTAACCTTATTTTCATTAATTAGGCAGCAAGGTCACTGGTCATAAGGAATAAGGATGAGGGGATGATATGGGAGGAAGAGGGCAGGGCAAAGCTTGGAAGTTACTGCGTCACTGTAGGTCTACAGCATCTTAGATGAGCTGTGTGCAGACTCTGTGGAGCCATTTTATATTGGCAGAAGGTAGGCTGGTGACCTCTGACTTCCCAATCCACTGGGAAATCTCACTCCTGCATTGCTCAACCAATCTCTCATGACTACTGAAAGAATTTTGCTTGGTTGAGATAAGTTCCAATCATAACTGTACTTGCTTTAAAGCTGTTTCAAATGAATACTACAGGCAGACGATATAAAAGCCGGCTTTCCTCTCCATGTTTAATTTGGCCATGGAGACAAAAACATGGTCAGCTGAAGTGAGCAGGCAGGTAATTGTTAATAGACCAATGAAAATTTTAAGTCATGATCTTGATATCACTTTACCATCTGGTTATGTTATGTGATGATTAAAGCTTCTTTTGTTCGTTCCTTCCTTCCTCCCTGCTTCCCTCCCTCTTTTTTCTTCCCCATTTTTCTTCCCTCTCTTTTTCTCTTTCTTACTGGCTTTTTCACTAAACTGAAATTTGAGCTTATAAGTAGTGCAAAATAAAACAGATTTTAGGAAGATGCATTAAGAGAGATTTGAAGCATATTCAGTGGGCCTGCACAGGTAGTGTGTCACCCTCTAGGGTTTTAAACTGTAAGCATTTGTATTAAGGAGAATTTTCTCATCAGTGAAAATGAAGGGATTAGATCCCATACATTTCCTGTGATTATGGTATATGAGCAACTAATCATAAAGACTAAGTGTACCTAAAGAGTTCATAGTTACAATTAAAATTTAAGTCAATTTGACACATTTAAAGTTCAACATTATTATTCTGCAGCATTAATCACTGGGCATAAAATAAGTTTATCTAAGTTGTTATTAGAATTAGCAATACTTTCTTCCATTCCCATAATAGAAAACAATTTAAAATATTTCTTTCTTTCTTTGTTTTGTTAAGTGTTTGTGTTAACTGTTAACCAAGTCCCTCAATGCAGCAATTCTTATTCAGATTTCAGATGCTTGCCTCTATGGATGCACATGTACACCAAAAGGTGGTCTTGGGTTAGACTCTCCACTAGGAGTGATTGCTGTTCTGGTTCTTTTTTTTTGAACTTATTTTTGGTGGTGCTAGGGATTGAACCCAGGGCCTTGTGCATGCTAGGCAAGAGCTCTACCACTGAGCTCCATCTTCAGCCCTCTGGTTCCTTTCTTAAACAGTGTTTAGACCTTGAGTTTCCCCTCAACCTGTTCTTTAATACCACATAATGCTTTCTAGTTCAAGCTCTTAGTCTGGAGTCAATAGCACCACCTAAAGGAGCCTGTGAACACATCATAGAGAGCCAGTCACTCAGACTGGGTGGTTGGACAGAAAAGGGACAGGTCAACTGAGGATGGAACTTGGTTTCCTATTGTCTTGAGAGTCTTGGGGAGGAGAAGTCTGTACTGTGCTCAGGCAGGGTGAGCTCCAAGAACACGCCCTTAGAGCAAACCCTCAGTAGTCACAGGTTGTCCTCAGGCTATTTTCAGGGGAAGAGGAATTCAGGGTTCTTTTTCACGGACTCAGTACACAACAGCTTCTAAAATCTCTTAAAAAAACTTTTATTAAACAAAGCCCCCAAAATAACATTTCTCTCAATGACTACTCTCCGTAGAAACCACTTGCCTCACACATACTAGTGTCTTTCCTTGGTTATTTTGATATTTAATATGCTCAGGAATGTAATTTTGAAAACTCACTTCTGAGGTAGAGTAGAATGGAAATGATAATGAATATGATCTCAAGTTGAACTTACAGGCATTTCAGGGAGATCATATGTTAGAATTAAAAGTGAAATTCCTCTATAAGTGGAAAAAATGTTTCCACAGTCCACTGTACTGAATGGTCCCATCATAAACCTTGCCCTGTGCAATTATGTCAGGAGGGCCAGACACTTTCCTGAGGCTGCTGGTACTCACCCTACTAGAGTTGGAATCCATGCTTAGAGAATCAAGGTACAAGTGCTTTTGGGCACTGGTATGTGTGCCACAGTGGTGCCTGCAGTTGCTAACTGCTTGGAGTAGGAAAGAAATCTGCTCCCAAATAGGGGGCATGATCAGGTCTACTGGAAGTGGAAGAGAAGATGCAGGTCAACTTGTTTTTTACTCTTCATCAACAGTTTAGGTAGCAAGCATGTGAGAATTTCTTCAGTGGAAAAAAATATCAGATGGACCTGAATGATGAGTTAATCAGTACCCAGATACCACATTCAGACTGTGTCATTAAGAAACACAAGGAAAGCTGGGCACAGTGATTCATGCCTGTAATACTAGCTACTCAGGAGCTGGAGATCTGGAAGATCAAAGATGGAGGCCAGTGTGGGCAAAAAAGTTAGTGAGACCCCACCTCGAGTAATAAAAAGCTGGGTATAATGCATGCCTGCCATCCCAGCTATGTGGAAGTGTAAATAGGAGAGTCGAAGTTCAGGCCAGCTGGGGAATAAAATGAGATCCTATGTCAAAGATAACTGAAACAAAAAGGGCTGGAGTTCATACCCCAGTCCTGCCCCTCTCCACCCCCGGTAAAAAAAAAATACCACACACAGAAATTTTCTGACATGTATTTCCACATAATGGACAGAGAAATAAAAAGCTAATTGAATACATAAGGCAAAATCTGGTAATTAGATTTCCAGTATGCCAGAAAAGTTATATTTTCTCCATTTAGTCCAACATCTCAGGGACTTCATTTGTCCAGTTCATTGTCTGCTTTTCCCCCTTTTCTAATGGGACAAATGCACTCTTCTGCCATACACATTGTGGTGGTCTCCAAAAGGTATATTCTACATGTGGCTGCATCTGTTTATTATTTTAACAGAGGAAGTGGGATCAAGGACTGGGAGTATGGCTCAAGTGGTAGTGTGCTTGCCTAGCAAGTGCAAGGTCCCGAGTTCTAACTCCAGTACCACCAAAAAAAAAAGAAAAAGAAAAAGAAAAGTGGAATCAAGACAGAAGAGGTTTCCTCTAAAGATTTATCTGGGGAAAAATGAGTTTAGTGGTTTTTAACAAGATTTTCTGTTTTAATAGTTTAGTGAGGTATAACTGACATATAATAATCTACTTGTACATAATGTGTAGTTTAATTTTGACATATCTATATATATCTGTCAAACCAACAATCAAAATATGTATCATCCATAACTCCCAAAAGCTTGCTAGTACCCTGCTGCCTCTCTCTGCACTTCCCTTCCCAAGCAACCACTGATTTGCTTTCTGTCACTAGAGGTAAGATTGCATTTACTAGAACTTTATATACATAAATGGCATCATAAATGAGTTTTATCTCACTAAGCATAATTATTTGAGATCCTTGCTTGTTGCTGGTTTGTGAGTGGTTCATTTCTTTTATCACTGAGTAGACTTCCATTGTATAGAAAACCTGCAATATATTTATTTATTCACCTGTTGGTGGACATTGGGTTTTCCCAGCTTTTTGGCCACTACACATAAAGCTGCTATGAAGCGTTACATACAAGTCTTTGTATGGACCTAAGTTTTCATTAATGAAATGACTGAGTCGTATGGCTAGTATATGTTTACTTTTTAAGAAATGGCTAAAGTGTTTTCCAAGATGGATGTACAATTTTTTTTTGGTGCTACTGGAGTTTGAACTCAAGGTTTTACACTTGCTAGACAAGCACTCAACCATTTGAGCCACACAACACCACACCTGGTTGGACAATTTTATATTCCCAACAGTAGTGTTTGAGAATTTTCAGGTCTTTTATATTCTTGAAAAACTCTGAATGGTCAGTTTAAAAATGTTTAGTCATTAAAGTAGGTGTTGTGGCATCTCATTGGGACTTTAACTTGTATTTTCTAAGAATGCTGTCATGTTCTTACTTGCCATTTATATATTTTTGTGAAGTTAGTATAAATGCTTTACCTGTTTAAAAAAATAGGTTGGGCCAGGAGATGGTGGTTCATACCTGTGATCTTAGCTACTCAGAAGATAAAGATCAGGAGGATTGCTGTTCGAAGCCAGCCTGGGCAAATAGTTCATGAGATCCTTTCTCAAAAA